TTGACGTCATCGCCGCTCGAGTTGTGATAATTATGGCGGAGAGTGTAATGGGCGGCGAGGCATCTGGAGTTTGCTTACCGGCGGACATGTTTGGGGCTGCGGTGTGGGTGATTGTGGAGGCGTTTTCGGAGGCGGGAGGCGAAGTTGCCCTGCTATCATTGCATTGGGTCCTGAGATGAGTGACGAGCCCGAGTAAGGCCCAAAAGTGCATACACATCTTAACAGCTGATTACTCAAATGCTGGTTTCTTCTCTTCATATTTAACGCCTGTGGACGCACCAAGTAGCCCGCAATTACATTAACAGGTCCTGTCTTCCCCGTGTTTCCTGTCGCTTTGGAGTGTCTGGGTTAGTATCGAAAAAAGAGGCACATCTTCTTGAAAGGATCACGAAACACCTGGATGGAATTAGGCCTAAGTTGCGAACTAATGAAAAGCTGGAAGGCTCAGCCGAAGTATTATCTATTCCAGACTGTAAAGGCTTGATGCCGGCTCAGATACCCGTACTCACTCGTTTTTGGTTACTCAACACGTAATCTAGGACAATGATCCACGTGTCCAGTGTCCACATTTTTAGCAGTGCGACTTTAGTTCAAGGGCCAGTGTCTTTTACGATTGACGGCATGCAAATTCCCTCAAGTGACAATCTATTCTGCACATACTGGTCACGAGTCCGTTACAATGGAGATCGTGTGGCGTGGTGATGTAATGACCCTACTCTGGGTGCCTACTACAACACCGTGCCTCTGGAGCGTATTTGCACGTACGCACCACCGGCAGTCGTTCGTCTGGCATTCCTAGTCACATCCTACCTGGCTGCTCCCTGAAGCCGAGAGGATCTGCCGGGTTTCAATCAACTCAAAGCTATCCAACCCGGCCAATTAACTTCAGGGTCGACGCAGACATGCCCTCGCTCAAGGCACTCTGATGTCCGCTCCGGTGTCACTCGAATACTGCCTTCGCGTCGCCACAAACGTGCATCCCCCGTCTGGCTGCCGACTCCCTCTAACCCCTTCTCTGTTCATTCTGTACAGAATACAGTGCTCTGCCGAGTGACGCCCATCTTCTCTCGGCCTAAAGGTAACAGTGGATGGAGCCTGTCCGTGACTTTAGCTGCCGTGGTAGTGATAAGCAAACTCCCTGAAAGCTCTACCTAAACTATAATGGGTTGGATACCAGTGTCGCAACACTCCGTTACTGATGCTAGTATTATTGCAGTTAGTTACCCATACTGTAAGCGTTGGTAGAGTAGCATTGGCAGCCGTGGTGGCGGTGGTAGTAGTAGTAGTACTAATAGTAGGATTATTAGTAGTATTCGCCGTATCAGTGGTGGTAGACGGGGGAAAAAGTTTTATTCAGTGTTGCGACACTGTATTCCCGCCAGTGGTAGTAGTATTAGTAGTAACAGCGGTAGTAGTGGTAGTAGTAGCAGTAGTAGTGGTGGTGGTAGTAGTAGTATTAGTGGTAGTAGTAGTAGTAGTAGTAGTAGTAGTAGTAGTAGTCCGCCCGTAAGACAGGCTGGTGGGGGAATAGACAATTCTAAATGTTGCGACACTGTATTCCCGCCCTATAATGTTTAAGCTTCTACCTTTGTCTACGATAATTGCCAATATAGCCGTGAAAATGACCATGTCTACGACTACTGCGACTTGTACTGTCTTTGATTTTTTCCACCTCTGCATTCCTCATGTCTCAACTCTCCTACGCGCAATTAGATTATTTTTTAGTAGAGCGTACAGTTTTGCTGTTGATTCCGCCTCACTAAATGAATGCGGTATCGAATAACATGGTGCCCCAAAACTGGGGTTAGGTAAGTCGGACTAACGACATCTTATAAACCAGAAATTGTCACCCCAGTCTCCCTTGTCTTTGTCGGTACTGCCTCCTAGGTCAAGTACTCTCCAGTGAGAAATTAGCCCAGAAATCGACTCAGGGTGAAAATAACTCGAACAATCGTCAGGGGCTGGATACACGAACACGGTAATACACTGTGTTCTCCAGCCAGTGCTTACCCCCTGGAGACACTGCATGAAGTCGGCCTCGTGAACACCAAAATGAGGAAGCGAGACCGCAACAAGACACACTACGAGTTTTTTGGAGCTTGACAAAATTGTGACGATCGGCGCATCGACCTGCCTACGGCATATCATGCGCCACGCTATCATAGTCAGAAGGTGCCATCCTGTTTTGAGCCGAGAACGCAAGCAGTGAGACATTGCCGCGATTCGTCCTGAGGCTAGATCCCTACAGGCGCTCAGAGGATTGGACAAGTATACAGATGGCCTCGACTATAAAAATCCTTTTTCACCAAAAGAACATCCACCAAGAAGGATGATCAGTGCCATAGAGATCTCTGCTGTTCCCTCGTTCTGCGTTCTGAGCAAATTAGCGCGTGCTTGAAGCCACAACTTCAGCAGGGCGTCATTTTTGTACTTCTCCCAACCGACAATGCCCTGGATGTCAGTTTTTTTCACACCCAGAAGTTAATTACGCACCACTCACATGGCACTACGGGCATCTATTGATCTAAAAAAACGACATAAGAAGGCATCAAGCAGTTGCCTGCTCCTGAATTTTTCTCGGAGTATGTCGGAGGAGAATGGCAATCCTGACAAACATGAGTCGCAACAGCAGCAGCTAGAGTCGGTCGTGCGACTAAGTCGCGAACCTCACTGAGCAAACCAACCACCTAAACCAGCAGTATATATCAACGACCTATACTGCCACTTGGAAGCCCAGCGTACGTTGCTGGCCGCTAAAAAAAAACAAAGAGGGACCGAACTCGATATTCCTTTTGTTAGCAAAAATTAGTTGAATGTTGCTCAGAAAAGGTAGCCAAGGAGGAGCTGGAGGCGCAGTGGAAGAAGGGGAACAAAGACAATATTCCTGAGAGTTCATTCACTGGGGACACCACAGACCAGGTTCAGCGGCACGGCATGGTCCATGAGCTTTGGTCGTGGAAGGTTCAGGTTATTCATTATCTCGATAAATTCGGCCTTCGACTTTGTGAGTCTACGTAAAGAAAACAAATCAGAAATGCCGCAATAGGTAGACAGACAAAAAGGGAAGAAAACTATGTCTGAAATTCCTGGCGTCATGAGGCGGAGTTACGGTGGAGATTTAACGTCTCCGACGATGGAGTAAGTTAAGCAGCGTGATATAACTGTCCCTCGATAGACCCTCCATTTCTTAATAATCACACGAAAGCTTCCATATCGTTGCATTTAGTTGAATTGGTTTTAATGGGGATATCCGAATCGATTTACATTACCAGCTGGCAATTTGAAATGTATGGGTAATTAATCGATATTTCATTCGGTAAATTTGAGGGTTGCAAATAGGCGTTTTGAGAACGAGGAAACATTGCTGGAATTTAGGGGAGCCTGGCTGTCTGATCATCGGCGACGCGGTCCAAAGATAATGTTGTCGGATCGACAAACCTGTACTACGCGGACGATTTTTAATTGGGACTACGGTGAGCCTTCATCGATCGCGGGTCTTGTTGTCCAGAACTCCGAGAAAATTAAAAATCCGCAAAGTATAAACCGCATATTATATGATTATTCTTATGTAATTTAAGTGTCACATGCTCATGAAAATTAGCCATTTAAAGGTCTATCTGCTTCATTTTCTTTATTATTAAGATTGTATACTTTGAGCAAATGAAAATAAGCAATTCTAAAACTTAGGAAACGTTTTGTTCGTCTTCAAATGTTTGCCAGTGTGCCGAGGGCTTAAAGGGTTTGCCAGACACTGCTTTAGGCCTTCGGGAAATTTATTCATGTAAACAAACGTTGCTGTCAGTTCTCAGCCAGGTCAACTAAAGGCGACCTGACAAGTCTTCAAGTTGAATAACCACCCCAGAGGTTCAATCCACGCACAGCAATGTGATCACTGTGCTCAAGTCACCATTGGCGCCACCATTCAGAGACTCCTTCACAGGCTATTTAAATTTGGGTGCCATTGGTGTGCATTTCAGAACTTGCAGGCGGAATGCTGCCATGAGACTCGGCGTTTCACGACAGCATGACAGCAACCGTCGCATGTTGCTTTTGAGATGTACAGCCGCCGACTCTTCAGTTGGGTCGAGCACGGGAGTACGAACCCCTAAGTATTAACAGGTAGCCCCGAGTCGAATTGCTGGAGAATCCCTATTCCGTGTCCGAACTCTAATCCTCACTCACCTAGCCCTAATCCTACCATTATCGGGGGGAGGGGTCCCTATTCCTGTGTCCAACCCCAAGTTGGTTTGAGCGAGAGAATGGTAGTCCGACCATTTCAGACGATGAGATCAACCAGTACCTCGAAGACACAGTCGTGACTTGCGCAGTATCTACCTCAATTAGGCCTGTGTTTTGGTGGCCAGGTCGTGAATGCTGCACGCGCAGACGAAGTCACTAGGTATGTCAGTCATTACGCCCATTCTCCGCACCTGTAAACTGACCGGCTCGGACAGTGACTGGGGCCAGGGAATGGGAAGAGTGAGGTCGACAACTCAGCGCATTTTCCGAGCTATAAACAATAAGAAGTGCTTGAATATGCCACGATGCACTAAAAGCCGTGGCCTGGAAGGTTGCCTACAGACGGGATAACTTGGACCTCGCAGTCAGTGCAGTGTGAGGTTGCGGACTGGGGGTCTGAGAGTCAGGCCGCAATGGCTCCTTCTTAATATGGCCCTTGTGACACTCCCATTCCGTGGGATCCGAGCCGGGCGTGACAGCACGCCTAAAGGCGGCTCCGGCCGTGCCAGCCGTCACTCTTGTTGTTATTGGTTAAAATCCTGATCAAACCTTTGTTGTGCATCAGGGGGTGTGATGGTGCGCCTAGGTACGGGTCCGGCCGCGCCAGCCACCTGCGTCCTCTCCCGCCACCGGTTTTCTTGATTATGTCTTGACCTCGGGCCCAGATGGAAAAGGGGGAGAGAATTCGGGTGATGCTGTGCAAGTCTATTGCCACTATAAACTAATTTACACACGTCACCGTGCCTGCTCTCACACGGTGGGCATCGTCGGTCATGATGGTCAAACTCTTATCTACCTCACTCGATCATCCCACAAATACCATGGTTCGATGACAGGACGAAGTCAAAGTAACGTAGATGGGCGGCCAGCAAAATCACCGAGACCGTCTACGCGTACCGCACGCGAGCTGGTCTCAAAATTCACACGCATCAGGCCTTACGCAGGGGCGAGAGGTTTCTCCGACCAAGAGTGAGTGAAGGTTACGAAAATCCCCATTGGACAGCTCAGAAGACTGTTTGGCCGACTGTGGAGCCCAAAGTATTGGCCAAATTTTTTGGGGACTGCGTATGGAGAGGGATGAATGTTCTAACCCCGACCGTAGAACGCTGCATTGGAGTCGTACAGTTATTGCCGCCGACAACCTGAGAAGATACGAGGGAAATCGACTGGAAAGGCCGTGTGTAGAAATACAAGAACGTCACTTTTGACGACACGCAGTCGTTCTCGACCCCCTGACAGAGGAGAGGTGACTAGCATTTGGCACTTACACCAAGCCCGTAGCAGGAAGACGTAGAGGGGCGAAGAGGACTTCGCTTCCTCGGAGAAATCCTGAACCGCAACGAAGTTCGGTGTATACACAACCACTTGTATGAGAGCAGTAGAGAGTAAGTTGCTTGAGGCACTAGAAACCCAGCTTGAGTCTCTGAATCCAAACCCACGACCTAAAGCCCACTTCCACAGACGGAATTCAACAGTTAAGTCAACGTTAGTTAATTGTATTTATCAATATCCGAACAAGGGGACGGAAAGTCGAGGACTGCTCACCAAGAGGACTTAAAACAGTTTCGAGGGGACAAGTGCATATTGGTGGCTAGGCCGGATAAAGGAACACGCATCACTATGGTAGATCTTCAAAGAAGAAGAAATGCACCCATGCAACCGAGACACAACTAACCGACTGTCTAAGAGGATTCCACAAGCGGCCAAGACTTTGGACAAATTATAATACCATAAAGGTCACGTAAGGAGGGAGCGAACGAAGTCCGACCCTTAGTGAGAATTAAACATGAGTCATCCCGTCAGTTGGGCGACCATCCGACTGTCTGCAAGTCGCGGAAGTTTGAAAGCATCTTTGGCTGCCTATAGTGAGGAATGTGAGGCCGGATGTGAGCTGCATTGCCTCAATCCCTCGTCGCCCTCGCATTTACCAGGAGTTTGTCCGAGGCAAGTCGGCCGGGGATGAGGTTAGGTGCAGTGACAATGCCGAGTTTCCGTCTACCAGGTGCTATGGGGGGCTGGGATCTCACTTAAGCGAGGAGGCCACATTAAGAAGGAGCCATGCAGTTCAGAGCGCAGCCCGTCGTAGGGGTCTGATTATTACTGCCAGCATGTTGCAGGTCATCCGAAGGAGTATGTTAAAGGCGGCTGGCAGCTACAAGCCAGTACAACCAGACACACGAACAATCTGTGGACGTTGGGCGCAAGTTTTAGAGAAAGGCAGAGGACGCCCTTCATTCCGGAGTTCTAACACTAGATGTAAGATGCAGAGGTAAACCAAACCGCAGGCTGATTTCTCAGAACGGAAACCAACATGGTCTTACAGGGTGACGAACGAAACCAAGAAATGCGAACGATAAGGCGCCCAGAACGAACCATCTTTGGACACTGTTGTAACCGGACTCGGCAGCGATCGGTTACGCTGTCCGTGTCCCAAATGTAAGCGCAATGGCGGACATTGAAAGGAAGTTAAGCCGAAGGAGGATGCTGAAATGGTTAGTGGGAAAGTAGCTGAAGTTAAAACGGAAAAGGACAACCTGATGTATGGCGATTCTGCCGCGGGAATGAAGGAATCCCAGAATCCCAGCAAAAGACCTGGCTGACAGGACACGCGGGGCAGCATTACCCCGTTAATTCTGAACGTAGCCTCAAACGTAAACCTAAACCTGACGCTAACCATAGACTGGACACTAAACCCGACCATAAACCTACCAAAAACCCTAGCCCAAACCCTAAGCTTAACCTTAACCGTAAATGGAAACCTAACACTAAACTCTAACCGGAACCTTTGCACTTAATACAAACCCTAACCCTAGACTGTATTCTCTGCTTGACACTAAACCAGACCCTAAAACTAACCCTAACTCTTAGCCGAAACACCAGGCTGCCCTTTTCCGCTTTAGTTTTGGCTACTTTCCCACTAACGACTTCAGCATTCTCCGTCGGCTCACTTTAATTTCACTGTCCACATTGCGTTTACACTTGGGACCTGGACTGCGTAACCGATGCTTGCGCGTGTTCATTTGAGGATAGGTAAAGAAACATAATTACCTACTTGCTCGCAGATCGCCAATAATATAGTGATACGAAGTAAAATGTGCAATTAACAACCTTGGAGAAAGCACTATGCAGATTGGTTCAGGGGAAAAGGCGAGAATGAGCACCAAGTCGGGCGGACGTTTCACACAGTTGGACTTGCTGATCACTGTCCGCGTTGCGCAAAAAAATATCGAGGTGAGGCGGAGAAGGATACACGATCACTGGAACAAATGATTTATTAGCCTGACGTTACGGATTCTCATTCCCCCATCATCGGAGACAGAGCCAGATAAGAGTAGTGGATTGCCCAGGTGTTGCAATATTTATAGGATGTAGTTGCTAGGCCGCTACATGCCTATCACAATTGGCAGTTCAAGAGTACATAACGGTTCGACTGGCCAGATGTTGAAGTATGCAGTTGCTATACGCCTGTGTGCCGGTCAAGACCATTGACTCCCACGCTCATCGCACGCCGCCGAATGGCTCACTGCCGGATTCCGTCATCCGTGTAGACTCTTGGGTGGTTTGGCCGACCGAAATTGATACCGGGGACAGAGGTTATCCGCACGTGAGATTCCGAAACGTCAAGCTAATAAAGCACTTGTTCCAGCGATCGAGTATCCGTCTCTGCGACTACTTCATGGAACTCGCCTCTTCGCTATTACTAGCAAATATCGGATTGAACTCGTGAAGAGTTTTCGGCATTGGTGCACCCAGCGACTATCGATTTTTTGCTGTCCGCACTGACGTTCACGACGCCACCTCTTCGCTTTGATAGCGTGGTGACGACGCGCCCGTCTGATGAGCTAATTGGCCCCACAGGGTGCTGACTCATCACACGGGCATGTCCCCGCTGTGGCGACGACGAAAAAGGCAGGAGGGACGGCCGTGCACGGCCAAATTCGGTTTTTGGTCAGCGGACCCCTATATTTGGGGATCACAGTCAACCTGGGAAGTTGTTCCAGCGATCTGCGTTCCCTTTCCAGATGTTCATCCTAGGACTCACTCAACCAACGCACATTGGAAGCGTAGGTGCGGGCAAAGAAGATGATGTTAGTTGGCCTACCTGGGGTTCAACCGCAGTTCCTCGTCCACAGTGGTCATCGCGCGACCGTTGTAGTCATGCGCCGGAAAGAGCAAGTAATTACGAGGTAAAGAAAGGATTTTGGAGTGGACGGAGTCGTAGAGCTGGTCCGCGGAACCCTCCTGGAAGTCGGTGCGACCGCAGCCACGAATCAACAACGCATCACCAGTAAATGCCGCCCCAGCAGAATGCAGCACAAAGGTTGTGCAGCCCGGTGTATGGCCTGAAGTAGGAAACAGGCACGAATACTTACAAAATATGAACTGGCAAGCAAAAATGGAATTTTCAACTTACATGTGAGCAGAAGGCTATTTCATCTGATATTAAACGCGCGCGGTCGAGGTCAGTGAACTCTGGGATTAGCTGTTTATTCAGCCGACGAGTCAGAGCCGCACTCGAGTCTATCGTCAAGGTTAAACAAAATCGCTGAGCATTAACTGGGTAGCAAATGGCCTTCACCCGAGCTTCTGATTCGTTAATTAGCGCCTGGTCGAAAGCCGATATGTCCATTGGCTGAGTTATCGGTCGAACGTCACGCTTTCTCTGACAGTCACGAAATCCAGTCCGCTTATTGGTTCAAGGTCTTCACGCGTCCGGAGGCGAAACTGCGCTGAAGAAAGTTGACCTTACAGCCTTAAAGCTACGTTGTGCTCATAGATTCCTGACTGGACTTTTCGCTAGTTACACCGACATAATTGGCTTTGCCCCATTACTGTAGCGGCTAAGCGGTGATGGTGTACACTCAGTACGCCACAACTTCAGGCCATATCCCAAGTTGTTAGAAGCAGGACACCATTTGGTTAGGACACTTTATTCTGTACAGAATAGTGAAGGGAAAAGTTGGCAACCGGACGAGGATGCGTCCGGCGCCGCGGAGGCGGCGTCCGCGAGAGCGACGAGCCCTGTGTCGCCGAAGGTTGCCGCTGCAAAATTGTCGTTGCAGATTGTCTACTCTATTGTTCTGGACTGTTCCCGCCTGTCTTACCAATCAGCGATAGGAGATGCGTTGATTGGCTCCGAGCCCACGCGAAGGTAGTGACAAGCCTCGCGCGGTGCAGACAGAGAATCGGCCAAATGCGTGGTGCAGACAGTGAATTGCGACGAGACAAATCGAAGCCGGGCAGACGTGCGTGCCATAGCAGGCTGTCGCTAGAAAGTAGGTGCAGGTGCTAGCGAGTAGCGCGACGTAGCCATTATGGCTGTCCACTACATTACTGCTGACCCCGAAAATAGAGTCAGATGTTGACCGGCGAGCCCTTAGACTGTTGACAAACCGTCGTTCCCAGTCTATTTGCGGGATTAACCCGCATTCGTCCATTTCAGAGAATTTTACGAATGCACGAGCAACACGGTGCAGCCTTAGTTTTATTTCCATCGGGATTTCACATGCCTTTGTCGAAAAAACTCGTGATATTAAATGGCTGTGAGGAGCCTTTAGCGATATTTAAAGTAAGTGTACATGATGGCCCAGATGTAACCAAACCCTAATTATTATTAAAAGTTACAAATAAGTGGAACAAAAGTTTATTCCACAAAGTAACAACAAATGTTCAGAATTTGGACCATTATTTGTAATACAGTTGCGACATCGTTCAACGGTTGAATCAGTTACTTTTTGCACGTCCCCGGCTTAATATGGCGCATCAGGTTTATCCGCGCTCGCAGTATTACCAGTTTGGATTGTCGGTTTAGATGGAGGTGGTGTATCAAATGATTCATTCCAGTGGTCTCTGGCTCGATAAATAATCATTTTTAAAACGATGAACACGTCCTCTGATTCTCAAAGTGCACCGTGTTTAGGCCATGTCTCGAACTATAGAGGGCGATAATGAATTCAAAATTGGCTAAAACAAGGACAAGGTCATGCACACCGACAGTGATGTAAACAAGGCCTTTCGAGGGTTTAAATTTTCAACGTTTGCTGTAACGCTATGTAATAACATTTTGTACCATTTATTTGTGACTTTTCACAATAATTAAGGTTCACTTACAGCTGGGTCAGCCTGCATGATAAGCGGGACTTGTTTTGCACCTACTTCATCCCGTCTTCTTCACACGCCCACACACCTTAATGGCAATGTAGGGTCGAGATGACCAGAGGTGAACGTGTGTGCTGTAGCCAACCCGGCGACAAGCTACTGTCTACATGTGCTCATCCCACATTCGAACGACTCCGACTTTAAAATCTCGGATCACACACAGGATGCCGTCAGGGCATCGTTAAGGAGTTCTTTCAGTCTGACTCCCAGTCAGAAAAAGGATCAAATCATCTCTTATGGAGAAAAAAAGCAGACACAACTGACAAGCACTGCATCTACCGCGCTATTTTCTTGCCCACCCGCCCAAACCCGGTGTCAAGGAGGTGGGGGGCGGGTTGGGGCGCGATGGCTGACAAAGTCGAGCGACCCGTCTACGCGTGCTACGCACCGCCTGGCTCGCACACTATGGGCCAGGTTTTCAAAGAAGCAAAAGAGGGGGCGGGTCCCAACTGAGCGGCATTGCCAGAGAAAAAGCAGCCTGGCCCACCGGTCAGTTGACAGCCCTCCAAATTACGGTTTCTAGTGCCCCGTAGTCAAATTGTTTACAGTGACGGATATGCACTGAGTGCCGTGAGGGCGGAGGTGCCAGAATCGACTCTGCTCTTCCCTCCACCTGACACCAGTCCGCTGCCCCAGCCGATCAGTCACCTGATACGGGAATGGGGCCCGAGTGGCGTTATGAGGCTGTGCCCCAATGTAGCCACCCTCCCTTTTAGTCCAGCGCATCCACCGCATGCCACGTTGTAGGGGCGCGGACACAGGCTTAGGCTAATTAACACTAAACCCGGGCGCAGGCCTAAGGTATTGATCAGCGGCATGGTCTTATAGTCTACGGACCAGCTGTGGCCCAGGAACCTGTCGACAATTATCTACCACACTAATTGCCAGGCCAATTATTGTGGCACTAACCACAGATTACTAGTGACGAGGAGAAAACGAAAGGATGTGCGCCTCTACGTGCGATCCCAGAGAGATGCGACTAGCAAATTGGTTTATGACAGCGCATGGGACCGGCTGAAGGCAGAATGGTTCGGAGGACAATGACGCGCAAACTCAATCAACCGCCGAGTCGACCTTCCAAAGGCCTACGAAGCTGCCCGACATCACATTCTCAGCATGGAAAAAGCAGACCAATTGGTGGTCTTTTGGAATTCAGAGTGAAAAAAATGACAATGAATTTCAAAAATTGTCGGCGAAGTGGACTACGCAAGTTCACAATTGACCAATTACTGCCAGCATGGTAGTTTTAAACATTACTCAGGTAAGCTTCTAATAAAATATCTGCAAGCATCTGCTATACCAGGATCAGCAAACCACGGCCCTCGCAGTCTGGTATGCGCTGGCAGTTCTCCGACACCTGGTCCCCTGCCGGTAGATACGTTTGCGCTCTCGCCGTCGTGAGCATGATTACCCAATCATCTCTCGCCTTCTGGCACGTCGTGTTTTTGTTGTTCGTTAAAATCCTGGTGATTTGTTGTGTAGACCAGGCAATGTAGAGTGGAGCGCCAAGGTGCGGGCTCGGCCGCGCCCCCCGCCTCCGGTCTTCTTGACTCTGACTTGACACCGGGCTCAGATGGTGGAGGAGAATGTGAGAGTGCGGAAGATGCAGCGCATGTCCACTCTCACTATAAACTAATTCACGCGCAAGTTACAGTGCCGGCCCCATCTTGATGTGGAGCACACAGTGGACATCGTCAGATGCGACGGTCGAACTGGCATGCTTCAAATGGTGGTTTTTAAACACAGAATTCGCACTAACTATTGACAGTTTCGACTAACATATGCTCATTTTGCTTTACGCGTCCATTCCAAGTAAAAAAAAGGGAAATTTAGAGCCGTAGCTTTATTCGGCAGCGCACAACGAATGCTGAGTATCCCCGGATGAGGCAACATGCTCACGATTCACCACGCAAAAATCAAAATACGACCTTCTGCCACCCGCTTGGGCTTTTACATGGGGCTGAAAATGTTGAGTTTATAGGCTAGAAGCACTCCATAGCACTCACTACTTCCGTTTGTTTAATGACTACAAAAACTACGATGAAGTCAAGAGGTTTCGCCAGGGCTTGTCGCGGACGAAGACCGAAAGAACAATGGAGCGTTTCAATCTACTTAAACGGCTGGTCTGAAAAACGGCACAACCGTAACGAAAATAACGTCGAAATGAGGGACGAGAAACAAATTTAACATGAAAAAGGACTATGATGCATCGCGGGAGGGTCGGTCCTATCACCTGATTTAGGTGTTTGGACCGACCTATTTGCCAGTCCAAGCAGAATGCCAGCTTTTTACTACCACAATCGCCAACAATACACACACACAAATGAAACCGCTCTTAAACTGCCAATGAAAAACAAAACACTTCACCGACTGCAGCACCGAAGGGTATGGCGAGGGTAGGGGGCAGTCACACCTAACGGCACCAGTTTACCTGTCAGCGAAGTGCTTCCCAAGGTCGAACGAGATGCGATTAGAGAACTCAAGGCCGACAAAGACCTGTTCATCGTGTCATTCCATACTCGGTGCTGAGACTTCGCCTAGGCGGAGTAATTGGCCACGCGGGGAGCGCACAGGTTAACACTTTCCCCAACGCAAGGGTCCGTAAGTCAGACGGTTGAGCAATCATCACACCAACATCCAACACACGTGATGGAATTGCAGCAATTAACGACGCAAATGTCGGCTATCAAACAATCAGCACACCAAGTGCAACGATCCCTGATGGATAGAGGAGCCGTGAATATTCATAGGTGAGGTAGCATGGCGACTACATCCTATAAATACTGCTGCCCATTATGCATGAACCACCCGTATCTGCTTTTGTCTCTGATGATGGATTCGAGCAGGAATCCGAAACGTTAGGCTAATAAAGTTCTTGCCCCAGCGATCGTTTCTCCTTATTCAATGCCTGCGAACTGTCAATTAAAAGGCAGGTTGCTGCATATTGGAATACCTAGGTAGCTACTTCAATCTCTAAAAAAGAAGAGCTAGGTCCGAAACACACGACTGCATGGGCTGCCCAGCTACTCTAAGTTCGGACCAGGGAGAGAGGGAGAGGGAGGGGGAGATAGGTAGAATTAAGGCGTTGGACATTCCTAAAGTTAACGAAGAAATAAACGGGCTTAAACAGGGTGAAAATGTGCGCATTGAAAACTGTTACGATGACCAAATGCTGTGGAAAAGAGGCGCTCACCGATCACGTTACAGAATGCCCTCGCCCCGTTGTGCCATGGGACCCAATCAGCAGTCACACAGCGGCGCATGATACAGGCAGAATGGCATTACCGACAAAGACAAGGGAGACTGGAATGGCCGATTTGAGTTTAGTAGCCGTCGGTAGCTAACCAGAAGTGGCAGCTGGAGGGACTAGAGAGAGAGAACCCCATGGCACAACAGGGCAATTGAGTTCCGTAACGTGATCGGTGGGTGTCTCTCTACCATTCTATATATCCGATCGCAACCGACAGGACAACGAACCCGTGGCTCAGTGGTAAGGGGCGTTGGACTTCTAACCAACAGGTCGCGAGTTCTAGCCCCAGGTATGGCTGGCTGGCGACGGCTGATAAGCCGGAAATGGCCGCTCCCGTCTCCCTTGTCTTTAAAGATAATGCGATTTGACCGGATTATGGTCGGCCTATGCACTCAAGGTGGCACGAAACGTTAGTTCTTAACTGGGCAGTGTGTTGCAACCTAGAATAGAATCTAACCAAATGCGCACGACGTGGAGGCTGAGAAAGAAACCACTCTCATTCTACATTCCCGACTTATAAAATGCAGGCGAATTGATGAGGTCTTGGCATCCAAAGTAAGAAACAACGGCGGATCCTGAAAACTGCCGGCAAAGTGGGCTACGCGGGTCCTAAAATCCAATTTTGAAAAAAAATAATGTTGGCCAAAACTCTGACTACTTACTGCCAGAGTGGTAGCTGCGAACAGTACTCAACTAGGCTTCTAATGACGGCTTTTTGATGCATAATTCGCACTAGCTGTTGAGAGTTTCGATTTGCATATGCTCTCTTTGCTCCCCAGTAAAAAAAAGAAGTTTAAAGCCGTAGTTTTGTCCAGCAGCGCGTGATGAATACGAAAACCAAAATGCAACCCCATATCACCGGATTGGGTTCTTGCATGGGGCTGATGATGTTGAGCTTATAAATTAAAGGCACTTCAGAGCACTCACTGGTTCTGTTTGCTTAATGACTAAGAAGATTACGAAGAAGGTAGAAGTCACTAAAGTCAGGAGGCTTCGTCAGGGCTCGGGAGATACCACCTGTAACGAGTGAAGAACGAAAGAACAGTGGGACAACTAAATCCACTTAAACTGTTGATCTGAAAAACAGCGCAACCGCAAAGAGAATAACACCGAAATGAGAAACGAGGAAAATAGGTTCTGTGCGAGGGAAAACAAATAAAGCATGTGATAAAGAACCACGATGTACCGTGGAAAGGCTGGATTTGTCACTTGACTTAGGCATTTGAATCGACCTAGTTATCCCTCTAAACAGAATCCGCGCTGTTTAGCACCAAAATCACAAATGAAACCGCTCGTAAATTGCCAATACAAACAAGCCTGGTTTAGCGCTTGCAATGCTAAAGGATATGGCGAAAGTACGGGACTGTCAAAGCTAAGGACACCGGATTGTCGGCTTGCGAACTGTCAGTCGAAGTCACGCTTCCTCCATGGGAGACGGATAGAATTCAACCGGTGGACATTTATTAGGCTGCCGAAGAAATTTTCGTGCTTAGATAGGGTGGAAATGTGAGCATTTTAAGCTGCCACGATGATCGCATTCTGTGGTAGAGGGGCGCTAACTGATCGCGCTACGAAACTCACTGGTGCCGTTGTGCCTCGGGACTCTCTCTCTCTCTCACTCACTCACTCAAGCCCTGCCCGCAGCCGCACAGCGGCGTGTAACGTAGGCAGAACAGCATTACCAACCAAGACAAGCGAGACTAGAATAGCCATTTTTGCTTTATTAGTCGTCGTCTCGAGCTGACGAAGCTCGAGAGAGAGCCCCGAGGCAGAACGGGACGAGTGAGTTCCGTAACGTGATCAGTGAGCGCTTCTCTACCACTGACAACCGACAGGACAACGAGCCCGTGGCTAAGTGGTTAGGGGCCTTGGACTCCAACCAACGGTCGCGGGATCGAGCCCCAGGTGTTCCATATTTCGGAGTTGGGTATGACTGGCTGAAGACGGCTGATAAGCTAGAAATGGCCACTCTACTCTCCCTTGTCTTTGACGATTATTTTATTCGACCAAAGTTTTGTCGGCTCGTGAATTCGAGGAAGCACAAAACGTTAACAGGGACAATATGTTGCATCCAAGAACAGAATCGAACCAAAGTTGCAGTGCGTAGAGGCTGATAAGGGGACCGCTTTTATGCAGTCCGTAAGAAGTACTCACCCGGCGTACTTCTGCACTCCAATTCAATGCCTCCACAGCGAATGATATCACCATCGTTGAAAACCACATCGGCTTTTGCCTTAGCCATAGCCGAGATAGCACTCCTGCAGCCCGCGATAGCTTGCTTCAACTTATGTGTGCCGGTCACGTGATCAGCGTGGACATGGGTGTTGATGGCGTAGAGTAAGCGCAAGTCCAGCGCCTTCACCTGAAATACGAGTGGGAATGGAGCGGGGGGAAGGCATTAGGTGTACAGCGCTCGAACTCATTTGGCTGAGAGTGCTGTCGACGAGAGGGATAACTTAATTTCTTCTAACGTCAGGTACGTTTACTCTTACTTTTGGCAGCCTCGACTTTGTCTTGCAACGGCAAGTCCGCATCACTGTAGGTTAGTGCAAACGCACCAACTCCCCTGCCTAGTTGAGCGTGCGAATAAACTTAGCCGAGCGCTGTGCGACTCTCATACAGCATGTGGAACTCAACCAAATTATGCAAGCCATGCACTTGTGGGGAATGTCAGAATGGAGCTAATGTTCTTCCCCCACCTCACCGCACTGCGCTAAGGGGAGGGGGGGGGGGGTTGGTCGATAGCCTGAGGACATTATAAGACGCGAAGCTTCAACAAGCGCTTTAAGGAGTCCGCGAGGGTCAGCATGGCAGCGCAAACGAACCTCATAAAAGAACAGGGAACGGCCCAAGTTTTGCGTGGTGCTCAGACTTGAAGTCTAGTGAATTAAAATTAGACGGCGCTCGTCGCAACTGTAGCCAGCATTTTTAAAGACTTCTTTAAATACTGCGGTTGGAAAGTTTAGTTTCTCATTTTCTGACAGAAGAAGTGTACAATGAATCAGCCGAGATTGTGCCCATAACCAATTATAGACGAATCCTGATCGGGGTGAATTCAAGGTCGCGGGGAAGCAGCAGTTCATCAGCTCAATTACCCGTTCTGTTTTGCCCTGGAGCTTCGACATAGAACCTTCACAAAAAGCCATACAACCTCAAAAATCACGATTTGTCCTCATAATAACTCGTCATAACTCAACTCCAGGAGAGGGAGGATCAGATTTGTATGACCACGGCCAAAGGCTCATGCATTTTTCACAGCGAGCGGCGATGTTGCGGGAGCGTGTGGACTCAGCCCTTAAACAGTCTCAACCCGACGGCCAGCAAAGAGTAAGTGCAATCGTCTTAACATTAGGCAAACCGATTATTAGGAAAAAAGCCCTTAGTATCGCTTTGTAGGAACTGTAAGTCATTCGCAGCATTGTTCCACCAACTGTCTGGAAGGTGGCTAAAAAAGTGAACAGGTTAAACAGAAGAAATTTACTTCGGCTAGACTCGTAGAATCTTGCCGTTTTAGGGGGCCTGGGCAAAAGTATGCTACAGAACGGTGTAACCCATTCGGGGCTAATCTGACTTCAAACATGGCACATCCAGACACCTCCGAGACATAGAGATTATAAAATTATCGATCTCAAAGCAGCAGCTAATTAAAACATAACACCACACAGCACCTTAATATAAGCACTTCTTATAGCAAATGATAGTTGGCCTACACTACACTGAGTGGGGATCAGTGTCCACACCACTTCATTCGGGACTAATGTAGGCAATTTAATTTGTTTATTTTAAAATTGGATACTTTAGCAAGCCCAGAACGTCTTTATTTAATGGAAAACGTGCACCTGAAACTTACATAAGAAAGCGAAGACGAAAGGATTGTTTTGTAGAACAAGAATCTGACCATACTTCTTGCAAATGTACTAAATCCCTGATATGAAATTGATAGTGGGATTAAAAAGTAGGCATAAACGATTATTAAAAAGCTCAAACGCACCATGTCAACGTCTCGTTCGGTTTTTTCCAGAACTGGATCAATAATGAGCGCCTCGCGGGACCGAGCATCACCAATCAAATAAGTATAGGTCGAAGATTGTGGATCGAAGAGCTGACGAAATATTAAGGGGCTTCCTACGGCCAAGAGCGCCAGACTTGGTACGGACTGCGAACTGTGATTTGAACGTTGAGCAATCTGTGTGAATAGTCTATGGAGAACACGAACAAAAAGAAGTACCCAAATAAAACAGGATTTACCATTTAGATTTTCATAAGACGGTCTTAAAAAGCTATTGTAGGTCAAGGTTTCTCCATTTTAAAAGCATTATGTTAAATTTTCAACTTCATAGTTGTAACCGACCTTTGTCATTCCCACTTTTGAATTCATCAACGGCGACAAAGTTTATAATCTTTTGCATTTACTCTTTCCGAAAATTGATGAAAGCCCAGAGGATGTCAGCTGCACCTTTAGCTCGTGCGATAAGTCAGATCTGGAGTATCAAAGTAATGATGCTAAGGTAAGTTTCAGATGACATAGATGTCATGGAACACCAGAAGATCAGAATCAGCACTGGTTTTATGAAAACCGCTCAAAGAGTGTTTCTAAAGTGCTGGCACAGTCAGTGGAACGGTTTGGTGAATGCGCTGACGTATTCAAAAGGGTCACATTTTCAGCACTCTGAAGAACATTTATTCAATTCGTTTAAATGTGCTCCCAACATAACGTGACTTAAACACAATGAAAAAGCCTTCGGTTAGATTCAAGATAGAGAGAGAGTTTATAATCTGATAAAATACTCGTTGAATGTCTGTACTGCAAATAAATCTAATTTTTACAATGAGCTCCTGCTAGAATGAAACATTTATGGAAACAAGAAGATTTCTATTGGATTTTAAAAGTTTTGTATATCTCAAACCAGGAAGGGCACCATGCAAACAAGAAAGACGGGTTAAGCGCACACAATGTGTATATCTCAAATCTAGGTCAACAAGAACTTCAAATGCAAAAAGAAAGAAGGAGGAGACACGGTCGCTGGAACAAGGGTTTTGTTAAATCTGCCGCTCCTGATTGTCACTCAAACCCATAATAAGAGACACAGTCAGATAAGTATAGTAGATTGCCCACGCGTTGCAGTATTTGGAGGATGCAATTTCTAGGCCACTATATGCCTATCACAACTGGCAGCCCCGAATGCGATATTTGTCCGCGGACCCCATTGCAAACGCCTCGAACGTTGGCCTTGCTCGGGGTCTACTGCATGACCTGGGCCTCAGGCCGATAACACGAATCCCAATAATCCACGTGCAGCCGCACATTGAGGGGACGAAGGTTTTTAAAGGGTCTGCTGAATGATTGTGGCCTATACTTTGCCGTATAAGGCACCCGGTTGTTGGACAATCTTTTGTTATCGGTGTGTTCTCCGGTTCGAGCAAGCCCAACCTGCGGACGACGTCCTGGTCGATTGTGTGTCAGAAGTTAGGGAATTTCTGACTAATGGCCTGAACAATTCACTGACAGACGAAGTTGTGAAGGTAGTCTCAACAAGTATTGTCTGCGAAAGACCTGTCCGATCCAACGTTATACAAATGCAAGCCCCCAATATGTATTATGAATTCGACAGGTATGTTGTTTTGTACAGAAAACAGAAATCAATTCGGGTGTTTTCACATGGGGAACCCGTTGCCAACCGCATGACATTCCCCATGTCCAGTGTTCGGTTGCGGGACGACAGATCATTTCGACTGCGAACCCAGATACTACATCACATGGGAAGATCGTCTTTTGAGGATTTATCGATCAATATAATGGCCTCATTTCAAATAAAGCCAATTTTTCAAACAGTTCGGAACGGCATAAAAGGACCCAAAAACATGGCGGTACAAGTGTTAAGGCACCTCAATGAAAGACGCCTGCCTAAGTTGCTAACAAGTTCATGATTTTTGACGACGTTAAGGGAGTTGTACAGTCGCTTCAGCTACCTAACGGATTAACCGCAATCTTCCACAGTGAGTATGTGTTGTCCAATGAGTCACCTGATAATTTCGTACATACTGGAGATCGACCGTGCATAGTGGCATCTGTTTCAGCTAATGAAGTAGGATACCGCCCTTTTCTGACTGCCATAATTCATTTACTACACCTTTTCCTTCGTCTTCCTTGATTATATACGAAGTGTCTGTTCTACAAATAATGTCCTCTGTTGCCTCTCTATTTGACATCATCTGTTAATATGTTCCGCTTAAATGGACAATGACTTTTTCCTAATCCCCTTTTTACACATATTTTCCGTACAGTGATTTGTTTTCAGTTACCGTTGTCCAATGACGATATGTGATGACTGAACGAGTGAAACTGCACATTTTCACGCAGATGTATTTATATTTGGGGTTTGTGAATGAGAATACGGTTGCAGTTGTGGCCAGTGTAATGGGTTAAACACATCCAGCTGGAAATATATGGCAAGGTAGGGTCAGACATGACATCACGTCGTATGCGCATGCAACGTTAGCGGGAAATTTGGTAAATATTCAAGCATATATGCTTTCCTTCACAGTTCCCACCTTTTCGAATAGTGCAATGGGCACCAATACATATTAAAGATAAGATTATTTATACAAATACTTCAATAACATGTTCACGCATATATGTCGGCAAGAACGCTATTTTATAAAATCCTACATGAAAACCCTCTATACAAAGACTGGGATGCACTATCTTAGGAAACCCGTTATAGTACCAATGAAATAACTGTGGCGTTTAAGTATGCACAACGTGTACATGTAAATATGCGCATAGGTCAAAGAAGTTTAAATATCTACGGCATATTAATATAACGCAATTAAGACGAAATGTTATTTGTTTAACTAATGTGCAATTTTTTATTTTTACCAAATGAGGCCAAATAAAATATTCGTTAAAGTACTTCGAAGCGCGGAGTCTCGACAGCATCATAACGAAGCGTCCAATCCGAAAAATCACCAACCTTGATATTATCCCAGATTTGACTATTTAAACAATTAGCTAGTTATTTCGGAAATACTTACTGGCATTTTGTAAGACTATGAAGAGCCAGATATCTTCATATCATATGGTCATTTTACAAGTGCGTCATTCACCGAGAACTAATACGGTTTAGTCTCTAAGTGTGGCATCATGGCTTTTTTGAGCTATCTCATATTACGTAATATTTAGCGTATGCCCACCAGCCTTCGACAATTAAAAGGTTAAACAATTTTTCCTATTTGGTAGTTAACTTACTTTTATTGTAGCAGATTTTTCAAGAAGGTAGTTGTGCCCGGATGTTTGTGATGGTTAACTTTATGGACCAATGCGATCGATAAGCCAATTACACGAAACCTTATTGATAGGATAGTCATAATATACAGTCGAAGGCTGCCACGATCAGAATGGAAGTAAATGTTTCAGAATTGTTGTGCCCGGCTACCGTGAGTGGAATTGAGGTAAGGGGAGTAGTAAAGGGCTTGGTAGTTGAAGCACCACTGAGCAAAAAGTCAGGACACTTTTCGACCTGGGGCTTGTCCACCGATCCTCCTCGAACTGCAAGATTGACCCTGCCATTGATTACAGCGTATAAATTGTTATTATGACCGCTCCGACAAGTTCTAATACGTGGATTCGTTCTAAATAGGCAAAGCAAAGCCTACTCACACGGTCGCAGCTAACGAAATCGAGTGCAAGCCGCCATGCGTTTCTGGGAACAAGAGCAGATCAATAAAATTCGTTTGTGGACCACGGATAGCAAACGAGAAATTTCCACGTACGTTAAACAAGGCTTTCCGGACTTTATAATGTATGATTAATTACCTCGCCATTCAGTCTGGAGGTATTGCCGAGCACCATTTCTTGTGCATTACCATGCAGAATCGACGCCGATGTCACGTCAATGAGAAAAGGAACCTGAGACAGGTCCACTACCAGTTCGTACGGTCATATGTGACCCTCAGGGTGGTTTTTATTTGACCCCTCCGTTAGCTACTGGATTTCAAGCATTTCTGGGGATGCGCAAACGGATAGACTGGAAAACACGGACTTGAGCTCAGCGCCCCGGTTTGTCGTTATCTTTGACAGAGCGTAATAATACGCATAAGAGCCAATCGATTGAGAACTGCGGATGAGCCACAAGGTTCCTTATTGTCCTGTTTTAAGATCATAAAACGTGGAAATAAGATCTCAAATCAAATATAATCCAGGTGCAAGTCATTTCACGGCTCTTGCAAATGTCGCTGTTCTACTGGTATTTGCGCCGAACGCCAGTTTTAAATCACGTAGGCTCCTGGGTGCCTGGTAGATGCACGTTTGATGAATGCAGAATTCCTAAATGCACCGGAAATTGAAGTGCAAGCTAATTCCGATCGTTGTTCACAAACTGTTCCGTCCTTAATTGTGTGTAAGCACCTCCGCCATTGCATTAGTCACTCTTATGGACTAATGATTGCGTTATTTCTGCGAGAGGACAAAAGGAACTTTTCCTCGAAACCCCGGTGGCTGCAGTAAGTGCATTGGTTCTGCACTCAAACAAGATTATGGTCGTCCTTCAACTTTACCCTTTCCAAATAATTCACTTATTTGGACAACAATTTTAAAAGTTATTTATTTCCAGTGAAGGTGCCTAAATTTTCGAAAGGCCAACGTCACAACGGGTCGCAGGATGGGGAGCTGGAGGAAGAGAAGGCACAGAGTTTGATGGATCCTTGATGATCAAACCCCATGAGCTCAATACGCAGAACGGGGTTTAGCAACAAACTGTCCCACTTTATGCTGCAGTGGGGAACAGATCTGATTTTACTGTGTTCGGCGACCGTTGAACTTACAGCGTTGAGACATCCAAAAACGAATAGATTACATGTGGTCGACAGGGTTAAAAAGTTAACTGTTTTTGTACATAGTCCAAAAGTCTGACGACGAGCTGGGGAACCAGTCTCGAAAATTTACGCATTGAAGTATATTCTCTTTCTAAAGAATCTTACTTATTTTCAATTAATTTTCATGGGATTCCAGTCTTTCCGCACAAAAGTAGGTAGAAAATGGAACCCTTCATGCTGTGCTGAAGTTCAACCGCAAACATGGTGTAACATACCGCTAGATAACTTGGAGTGAAAAACAGTGAAATAAGGGAACGCAAATGGAAGGGGGAATTTTAGAAATACCAACAGGTTGCCAGGACACAGCTAAAAATCATGAGTTCTTGCCTCAGATGAAGCTGCTGTGCTCAGTTGGCTGGAAAAAATTTCTATGTGGTTGTACGAATTACCAGGCCATGGAAAGAGTATTTTGAAAACGAAAAAATGCAAACGAGTATTAAAAAGACCGATTTTGCAGGTACTTGGATGCTTTAAGTCTATGAAACTAAACTTATATTTACTCGAAAGTCCTGTTCACACACTAAGCACATAATTCATTCATTTATTACGACTTATTGTCGTAGGGCCAGTTATTATAACATGCTACTAACTTAGGTATTAAATAAATTTCAAACACTAGATGGGCCGATTGTCCCCCTCGTGCCCTTTTTTGTATGTAACACATCCCAGCGTCTTTTACGTGTTTGTTTTACTCAGTTAAGTAAACAGCAACCGATTTGAAAAGTGCGCAGATTTTAGTATCAGGTTTCTTCGGATATTTTCTGCATTTTCGTTTTTCTTGACGGTTTCCGCATTGCTAAGTATCATTGAAAGAATGCCCATGTACCTTAATGTGTTTTTATGCATTTAATCAAAATAATTTACAGGAACTGTGAAAATAAATTCTTTTTTCTCTGTATTTTTGGGTAAATTTGTTTTTGTTTTAGCTAGGCCTTTACGTTGCTAACTAATGAGAACAAACTCCCTGATGCTGCTTACATTTTTGCAAATTAAATTGGGGTTTTTGTTAGTAAAATTGTGATAATTTGAAATTTCGAGGAGGACCGAGTATGCACTTTCTGTAATACTTTGAATTCTGGGCCTACTGTCAAATGTTTTCTCTCTAGTTCTTTGATCACGGCCTTGAAATTTGATCCATAACAACGCTTGCTTTAAGTTCGCACTAGATAGAAACCAAGCGTTTAGGTCATGCGCCAAACGTTAAATTTATCTTGAATCTATTTGTCAAGGGTTGGCGGCGCCTTGTAATGTTCTAAACCAGCAACAGCAGCCCACGTATCTTCAATCATAAATTTAAAAGACGCAAAGGATATAGATTTGAAAGCTTACTGTTGAGTCTGGTTATGCGCCCTTGCCTCCGTTTCTTCCGAATCCTCCTTTAACTCATTCTTGACCAGGTGACTGAGATCACATTCTTGTAAACATAAAAACGGCATTTGTTGGTCAGAGACGAGTGTTAAAAGCAAATATCGAAAACTTTTTTTACAAGAACTACAGGGATACAACCGTTGTATTCAAAAGTGCGATGATACTGGCGCTGTATAAAAATTTTGCCTTTTGCTGTTTTTAGATGTGTTTGCTCATTTATTCTGTGTCCATCCATATTCAGAGCTGGTCAGGGTAAAACTGACTAACTACTGATGTGACTCACGTTTACGCTAACAGAGGATTTATTGAATAGCACCAGGACGTGGAACTGTTCATTTAAGTATTAGTACGCGTTCGCAAAGCGTAGGCGCCGGAATGACGGTTTCACCTAATACCACAGTTTAAACGCTATCTTATTTAGGTTAGACTTTGACCAATAGGAATATCTAGTAAAAAAAGGCTAGCGAAAGTTCACCGTCTTTTTGAATGTGATGGAGCAGTCACATATAACGTTCGAAAGACAGGTTAGTTAAATTTACCCTAGCAACGAGACTAGGTATACCAAATTTGTGTGCGCATTAAAGAAAGAAACAATCTTTGAGAGGGAATTTCGCGTGATATTTAAATTGTTGGCAAAGTTTTTAGAGGGGTAAAATCTAAAATGCTTCGTATGGAGAGAACTAACAGTACAATAAAGCGCACTTACCCTGTTAGCATTTATGTCCCCTGACAGTAGTTTCCATCTGTGCACCCGCGTCATTTTGGAAATCTCGATGACAGCATATGCTGCTACCCTCGCTATTTTGCCCTTCTATGTGAAGAGCAGTTATTTTCTCCAAACATTTTCTTTTTCTTTAAATACTGTTTTCGGCTTCGGGGGGACGTTTTGCAACGATGTCTCTTGAAACATTTTTAAATATCCGATCGGAAGTTCGTTTTTCTAAGGGGTAATTTTCATTTAAATGCAGCTCCAAACTATACTTGTCGTCTTTTCTAAAACTACATGATGTTTTTCGATCAAGCGGCTAATTTTGGATTTATTAAATCAGAAATAGCCAAAGCGTAGAATTGCGGACAAAAAGTAACACACTAGATAACATATGACAATAATTTTTTAAAATTCCAAAACAGTTCAGTGTCCACCAACATCACATAAATCTCTTGCACTAAGATACCTGGTCTCTCTATATGAATTTACTCGGTGGAAATGTCATTTTAAACAAACGTGAAAGCCACTAGATGAGGACGAAAACTACAAAGTCGTCACAGGTCAACTGGAATCCCACTTGCTTGTGAATTTACTGCGTGAATGTCCGTTGTCAATATACGGTAGACAGTAATAGGGAGAGCGTCGTCTAAAGGCTACTTCCGAAAATGCATCTCCAAAAATCGAATTTGGAGTTGTCTGCGCAAGAAGGAGCTCAGCATATCATTTATTCCAATGTTGATGGACGATCCACCTCGCAGTTATCTCGGGGCATGTTGTTTTCATAATGGCTCAGGCACCCATGTTGCATCCCTCCACATCACTCTTTCCATAACCTTTAAAACACTTCTGAGTAATTAGGTTAGAAGCTTTGGAGCGATAAACCACAGACGCATTTCCCACAATTTTTGCCTTATATTGCGGTCGTCTCTTTCTTTCTGAGCTTGAAGTCTAGAAGACTTCTCTTCCTTAGGCATGTTAATTTTACAAATAAC